CTTAATTGGGGGGTGGGGAGGAGGAGCAGGGGGTGGGGATGATGGAGTTTGGGGAGGATGGGTTTGAGGTTGGGAGTGAGGATGAGAGTCTTGATGAGGACGACGGGGAAGAGGAAGAGGAATTGGATGATGGAATGGACGACGAGAATGCGGAAGTCGATTTCGAGGGAATTGAGGATGATAACGACGACATGCTGCTTGATTTGGACGGCGAAGATGACTTTGAGGATGAGGATGAAGAGTCATCTGATGAAGAACCCACGGGAGTGTTTGTTGAAGATCCGGACAAACTTAATGATGGATTTTTCTCGATCGACGAGTTCAATAAGCAAACGGAATTTCTCGAACAGCAAGATGCAAATGCTGATCCATACACCGGCGAAGCAAGCGATGAAGAAGATATTGATTGGGACGCCAATCCTCTTACCATGCCCATCAAAGCTGCGTCAAGTTCGAGACGGGCCGCTGCTATGGATATTAACGATGAAGAAGACGAAGAATCAGCAGAGGAAGAAGATGATGGGCCCACATTTGGAAACATGGATCTCAACGCGCCAGATGGAGAAAGTGACGAGGGAGAGGATGCGGAAATGGACGAGGACGATGACCCGGCTGGTGACAACACAAACGACATTTTATACAAAGATTTCTTCGAGCCGCCACCACGCAAAGCTGGAAAGGGGGAACGACAAGCGAATTTTCTGGAAAGACAATCAAAAAAGGTTAAACTTGCTGACCCTGCTGACGATGAAGCTGGGATTGAACGAGCTATGGCCGATGTTAGACGAGATCTGTTTGATGATTTTTCAGACCAAGATTCTGGCGATGCACTATCAGATGTTGATGCGGGAGATGTTAAATCTAGACGATCGGCACATGAACGTCGACAGGCCAAACTATCAGAAGAAATACGTCGTTTAGAAGCCGCTTCAGTCGCAAAACGGGAATGGACCCTATCTGGAGAAGCTCGAGCTGCTGATCGACCTCAAAATTCTCTGTTAGAACAGGATCTCGATTTTGAGCGTACAGGAAAGCCAGTACCTGTTATTACGGCCGAGGTCTCGGAGAGTATTGAAGAGTTGATCGAACGTCGAATTTTGGCACAAGAGTTTGATGAGGTCATTCGTCGACGTCCAGATTCTCTATCTACTCCAGCAAATACCCGTCGTGGGGCCTTTGAGTTGGATGATTCCAAGCCTCAGCAAAGTCTCGCGGAAATGTATGAAGAGGAGCATGTCAAGAACAACAACCCAGACACTTATATCAGCAAAGCCGATGAGAAAGTACGTCAAGAAGAAAAGGAGATAGAAGCATTGTGGAAGGATGTCAGTGCTAAACTCGACGCATTGAGCAGCTGGTCTTATAAGCCAAAACCTGCTGCTCCAAGTTTGACAGTTGTTGCGGATGTTGCGACTATCAGTATGGAAGATGCACAACCTACCACGTCTGCTGGTATCAATGGTGGCGATTCTATGCTGGCGCCGCAGGAAATCTACAAAGCTGGAAAAGAAAAGGATTCTGTTAATAATGGAGAGATTGTACTCAAGAGTGCAGCTCCTGTGGCTAGACAAGAGATGACTCGGGAACAGAAATTACGAAGGAGAAGAAGAGAAAAGGAGAGGATTAAGAAGAGAGGTGGGGAGGAGATTGGGAATTGGGTAGAGTCGAAGAAGACCAAGGGAAAGAGGGAGATGGTTGGGGACTTGAAGAAGGGTGGTGTTAAGGTCATTAATAAGAAGGGAGAGGTCACGAATGTGGATGGAAATAAAGTACAGGATGCTAGGGCGATGAATGGTGCTGGTGGGTTCAAGTTGTGATACGATAAGATAGGAAGTGAATAGGAACTGTTTATATATGGCCCCTGTGGGAACGATACTTTTACTTGTCGCAGTTGAGATCAGCAGTATGATGATTATTGAGCTTTCAAGGATGGGTGAATGATCGTATGGTGGTGGGGCTTTTCTTGCGCTGAACGCCATGCGGCGATGGTGACTAATGGAAGATCATGTTTCCCACATCACTTCAAGACTTTCTACATATTTAATTCACTTGAATACTCCAATTCTAACTTCAGATCAATTTCAGTCTCTTCTTCAGCCCCAATTCAGGATTCTCAACCATGGCAGCACCAGGAGAAAACTATCGTCTAGCCTTCCCACCTAGTACCAAACCCCACATCTCAACCGGAATTCCCTTTCCAGCAGCATGTGCTCACCACATCACCAACACCTTCAAAGCCTCCAAGGTGTACATCATCGTCTCCAATTCCATCTCCAAGACGTCCAATTTCACGGATCTGGAAAATGCACTGGGTGATAAAGTGGTGGGGGTGAGGAAGGGTATCAAGCCCCACACGCCGTGGGATGATGTATTGGAGATTGTCGCGGAGGTTAGGGAGAAGGGTGTGGATGTTATTGTCACGCTTGGGGCGGGCAGTTTGACTGATGGGGCGAAGGTTGTTGCTTTTGTGAGTTTTCGTTTCTTTTCTTTTTTGAATCGAGTGTTTATTCTTTTGAGGATGTCTTTGAATGTTTTTGAGAGTGAGTACTGAGACGAGGATAGGCATTGGCAAACAACGTCTCAACAACCGACGACCTCGCCAAACTCCCCGGCGCTGCCAAAACACCCAACTTGAATCCTCCAACTCTCCCAATCATCAACATCCCCACCTCCCTCTCGGGCGGGGAATACAGTCCCTTCGCGGGCGCCACCGATCTCCGAACCCACCACAAAGCATCCTTCTCCCACCCCCAAATGGGCGCCGACCTCATCATCCTCGATCCCCGGCTCTCCATCTCGACACCGGCCCAGATCTGGCTATCGACTGGCATCCGAGCCGTCGACCACTGTGTCGAAGGTCTCTGCTCCCTCGATGCAAATGTAAGTCCCGCCACGGACGCGAGTTTCGCGGCCGGTCTCAAACTGCTCGTGCCCAACCTCCTGATCACGAAGAAGGAGTGGGAGAATGAGGAGGCGAGGCTCGGCGAGATGCTGGGGATTGTCAAGGCCATGGGTCCGCTTTTGGGAAGTACGGTCATTCCTATGGGTGCTAGTCATGGGATTGGGCATCAGCTTGGTCCCTTGGGCGTGGGTCATGGGGAGACGAGCTGTATTTTGCTTCCGGCGGTGCTGAAGTGGAATTTTAAGAATGGTGATGAGGCGGTTAGGAAGGCGCAGAGGAAGGTCTTGGATGTGCTTTGGGGGGAGGCGAGTGTGAGGGGGGTTTTGGAGAGGAGGGGGTTGAAGGAGGGAGTTGCGGATGCGGGGGATTGTGTGGGTGCTGTTGTGAAGGAGTTGGGGATGCCGGCTAGTTTGAAAGATGTGGGTGTGGGAAGGGAGAAGTTGAACGGGTTGGCGGTGAATAGTTTGAAGGATAGGTGGGTGCAGACTAATCCTATTCCGATTTTGGAGAAGAAGCAGGTCCTGGAGGTTTTGGAGATGGTTGTTGGGGATGAGAAGTGAGAAAGTTGGGTTCTGTGGATTGCAAAATGATAGCTGTGATGATTCATTCTCATCAATCTTAACCTTCAGAGATTTCAAGGGTTTCTTCTGCAAACTCCGTATGTTTAGCGAGCAGCTTCGTCCAAGACGACAACATAATTTATTGTGCGTATGAGTGGAATTATTCAATGTTGATACTTGCTCGCGCTAGGTTCATGTTTTATGTGTTAATATGAACATTACACAAGCACAGTAAAATATCAATTTGTGAGTGATATGGACATTGCTCTTCATACACTTTAAGAACTCATTGTATTAGAAGCCTTGAAACCACTAGCTTAATCGTCCAGAGATATTCACGTTATTGTAGAGATATCAGAGCTAGTTGTGCTACCTCGTTTGCAGAACTGTTTGAATTATACAAAGCTGATTTTGCGATGGGTATTGCGTGGCAACTGCACACTTCCAGTTTGTTACTTAATCTGTCCTCCCCGCTGCTGTTCACTTTTCAAAAAAAGCTGCGTAGGAGAGGCGGGCATTACTCTCTACACGCTATCAAAAATCGTTGCTCTAAAAGTCTAGTACAACTTAATCGATTGTCCTATTTTACCTAGGTTAATTGGGAGTGAAAAGTATCAATTATTCTAAACCATTCGTATAATTGATTTAGTTGTATAAGGTCTTTAGAATAATATTTTTATAACTTAGGCGTATATAGAGTAACACCCGCCTCTCTTGTATGGAAGGTCGTGCAGCTCGGGTCGTTCCTCTTGATTTTTGTGGTGCGTTGTAGTCAAAATTAGGGGGTGGGAGGAAGGAGCGAGGCGGTCGGCGTCTGGAATTTCATTCCATTACAGACATTTTCCCAGTGGCTACTAATATTTATCAACTAATATCTACCCTCTAGATATTGCTATTCACTTGAATCTCTGTCTATTACGTGTATTCTTTCCACTTAAATCCTGCTCTCTTATCGGTCAAAAAACGCCTTTGGAATTCTACTTTTTCATGGGGTTCCAGAGGCCATTAGATGGAATATTGCATTACATTTTGAAGATGCTCTGGAAGTTTTCCCTGTGGAATTCTGGAATTCCAAAGAATCTATTCCATTTACCGAGCGCTGACGCAGAGATCAGAAAACTTCTAACTCCACTCTCTACAACATTACAAGTTCTATCATAGTTCATTGTAAATTAGACTTTCGATTCTATAAGGCGGTAATGGCCTACATCAATTAACAAATATTAAGGCCCTATCCACGTCCCATTGTCATACCATATCCCCGCCTTCGTATAATCCAACCACATCCCTCCACTCACAAATCCAAATCTGAAATACTCTAATATCTCTGAAGGTCTAGTCCAAGTAAATCGATCGTTCGGTGGCGAACTCTCGCCAAAATAAGTTCGATGTCTCTCAACATCATTCACAAGAATACTGGTTCCATCATATCCCAAGTTTGGTGCTGGCAAAGCCCAACTAAATGTAATATTAGATGTTGTCGAATCTAGAAAGATTTCCGGTTCAGCAATCGATGGGAGTTCGGATCCGAAAGCTCCGTCGCCCCGGAGAGCCATTGGTGTTTGGAGAACGGAGTCAAAGCCCCATCGTGAGATGCCGTTGATAAATAGACCAAGAAATATCCCTTGGTAGAGTAAAGATGGCCGTGTTTGGAGACTTGTCCCCGGAAGTAGTAATAAAGCTAAAATATAATGATGAATACGCAGTTCAAGGCCTGGAAGGAGGAGACATATCCCTATCGATAATATCAAAATTCCATAGAGAGCCAGATATTTCAGCAGCCGGTTCTCCAGGCGGAAATAGTACGCTTGTTGGAAAACAATTACCAGAATTATGGTGACGATGATTGCAAGAGCTACTTTTGCGCCTGACTGTTGCTCGAGATCATGCGCTCGTAGACGCTGGATTGGTATCCATTCGAAGGTGTAATTGGATAGTGCACCGAGCCAGCAACCTCCTAACCACAGTAACGTCTTTTCAAATTGGGCTGTCAAGCCATGGAGCGTGTTTCGCACACAGATCCAATAGAGTACGATGGCGCAGAATGCAGCTGGCAAAAAGCTTCCAGCATAGCTTGAAAACAGCTCTTGAAGTACAGAAACGGAGAGGTCTGAGATACTTGGAGGATCTGAGATCATGCTAACATGTGCAAATAAGATGGTAAATGTGACAAAGAATTGGACAGACGCCGAACTGGTGAATACAGAGAGTATCGTTGTAAATATCAAAGATAGAGCCAGCAAAATCCAGCGTTGATCTTGTGGGCAATCGAAACCAGAAAGTTCTTCAAGCTCAAAAGACAGAGGAAAATATGAGTCGAACCCAATACTCTCAATGCCATTCTTTCGCGTAGACTGAAAGTCTCTGTGAGACCCAACACGAGATAGTAACCCACACCCCCCGTTTTATCGCTTACGATTCCAGCATGGATAGCAGAACTGCAGATAAAAGAGTCACCTCGGTAGACAGGACCGCCAATGACCAGAGGCTGGTATAGAATCTCCTGAGCGCCAACATAATGTGGATTCAAAACTTGGACTTGGGCACAATTCGCGTCACAGCGAAAGGCAAGGGAGGAACCATTGAAGGGCCGACAGTCGAGGCCATCTAAGCCACAATCACTGTCCTTGAGCCATAACGTCTTCACGCAATCGATATGCTTGATTGGTAGATTTGTCCCTGGCACTTTACCGGTAGCAGTACTTTTGTGGAGAATTAATCCAACAAGCACAACCCATACCAAGCAAAATATCGATAATGCGGTAACTTTTCGCTTCCTCGTTGGAAGTCTGCGGTCTAGCAATTCCACTGGATAGTTCTGGATAGATGGAAACCATGGAGTTATTGTCTGTATTCGAGGCGGATTCGGTCCTTTGAGGAAGTTGGCGAAAGAATTGTAGGTTTGAGCAAAAAGGTTCCGGGAACTCCGGGGAGGTTGTATTTGCTGATATGGCAAAGTATCGTTACCGAAGTCTTCAAGTTCAATAGATCCAGTTTGCAGGGGCTGTGCTTCTTCGTCGATTACGTTTGGATCTTCATCTTCTCTCCTCCCGTAGGATTCTCCTATGGGTACATTCATGGAGCCGAAGAAGTGTGTTTGGAGGGGGGCCAGTTCACAGCGACAAACTGGGCATTTTCCAATCCTCACTTTTCTTTTTTGATTATGATGTAGCCCCCTTTTCTCGCCAAAATTTTGCGATGAGGGAGTGTCCTTGTCCTTAGAGTAAAGGATTCATGTCATTACTGTGAGTGGGCCCCCCTGACTAAGCGAGCTAGGTCACCCCTGTCGCTTAAAATTAATATCAAGATATCTTGCTATTCTACCACTACAGTTCGTGGAATAGTGATGGGGTGTTCGTTTGAGTAACCTCTTGATCTATAGACACACTAATTCCACAGGTCTTGCAGTTCTGGTTTGGCTACCAAAAAATAATCTGGGAATGAACCATATCTCGCGGGGATTACATAGTGCTACGACGACGGAAAAAGATTCTGAATATATACCGCTTAGACTCGGTTTTGAAAGACATATCTCTTACCTTACAAAGGTTGGAAAGATATGAGAAAAATATCAGGAGACTCTGTTTTGACTTCCTTTTCTTTTGACGCGATCTGAGTCATTTTGGAATGCGTTGCTTAGTTGTTAAAAGGTGCAAAAACAAGTGTGATTTTGGAGTGAAAAACTGCGTGGTTCTTTACGTCCCATAGATGTTAGCAAAACGGCAAAGGCTAACCTTCCAACTGCCAGAATTTGATTTTGAAGTACTTTGTTACTCAGCCATCTTCAACAATCAACACAATTAGCTAGAAACACTAGGATAATAAAATGCCCTGACGTGTTCAGGTCAGCAGCAATCCACTTTAAATCGGCCTAGAAAGAAAAGAGGAAAATGATTTAAAACAGCTTTTTTTGTCTGCTGTATTTTATGTTACTTCGTCGCAGGCCAAATAAATGTATTTCCAAGTGCATTTTACCCGTTGCCAACCTTAGCCGACCTAGAAAAGCTACATTCATTTTGCCTGTGACGAAGTGTTTTATGTCATTTATTCTCAAGTTAGTGAATAATAACCGTGCCATCTTTGTAGTTTCAGAACTGATTTGCTTCCTATGGCTGGTCTACAAGGATTAAAAAAACCTGGTGTTGCAATCTCTATCACCTCATTCATCAATTTTCTTTCTCCCAGCCACCTCACCTTGATCACACGACATAGCCAAGAGAGTACAAACTTGGTTCTTTTTTGTAACTTCTATCTTCTTAGTTCACCCATCTCCTTGCATTCAGCCACATCACCAGAATCATCCCAAGAAAGCCAAGATAATGAAAGCACGTAAAGCTGATTCTTGAGTTTTTGTAATGTCCCTAAGAGCTTTTTATGTATCACTGTTGGTTTGACTTATTGTCAAATATGAGGTGCAATATAGGAAGAGGCTAAACCTTAGTACTAGACTATTCCTATTGTTGATGCACTTCGATACCGAGCAAAGGTAGTAGGCTAGGGCACTACTATTATATAGTAGTACCAAGCCCTACCCCTATACGGTCGAGTGTAGCTACCTAATCGAGTGTAGTTGCCTGATCAGGTATAGCATATAATCGAGTGAATATACCCGATTATATTATACCGACAATCACCATAGTAATTTTTCATTTGGGTACATCAGCAATAACTTTTACTCAGAAAACTTGAAGCAATCAAAGAGTTTGAACTTACTGTCTGAATGATGGCATCTGGTTTGAGTAGCTTCGAGAGCTCAAACTTATAGTGAATATCAACTAATCAATTCCCCTTTCTATGAAAAAATTACCCCACTTTTTAGACGAGAGGGTAAATTAATTCAGAAGTGAATTTTGAGAGGTTTGTTCGCTTATCCTCAAGCGAAACCAGTGTCTTCAAGTGGTAAGCAAGACACATACACAGGAGTTCTCAGGTTTTCAGGTCATAATAACTGTCACCTTTGGAGGATCTTTGGGGTTCTTCAGTATCGTGAGGATTTGGTATGATGTTTTCTATGTTATACATATGGAGACCTCAATTCGAGTGCATATCTTTGGAAGTACCACAGAGTAATTTACATCAAAGTGTGAGATGTATAACAGTTTATAGCAACGGAGCAATTTAATAATAACGTTTACTACTGTTTCTGGCGTTTTTGTTATGGGTTGTCCTTGTCTACAACCTCTACGTCATTGGGATCGCTAATAAGAAACAACTTCTCCTAATTTCTCTCCTCCTGCAGTTCGGGGGAAGGGGAGCCGACAATATCATCATAGTATTGCCACAATGACCACAGGGTTTTTTTAGTTGGTTATTGACAAGCCCGTAGTATTTCCTAGACTATTTCCCTCCATCTCCCCCTCTTCTGGAGCTCAAACCTTTTCTCATACACAACCACAATAAAATCTCTGATGCTCTAATTCCTTCAATTGCAGACAACACACTTGCAATTTAACCATCGTATGAGCTTGTGTCTCAAATCACAAACTCGAACTTAAGCACTTCACAGGAATGGACTTTTCCTTATCCTGAACACCTCAACACGAAACCATGCAATCTACTACTTTGATCTGGCTCTTTCTGGGCCTTCTCACTCTCGTAGGTGTTCCTCTCCCAAATTTTCATAGAGTCCAATTGACCTTCAAGCCAGATCCAAGCACTCCCATCACCAAGCATCGCAACCTCTTTGAACCCCCGAAAGGAAGTCATCGATCTCTTAGCCATCCATCGACGAGAAATTGTGAGTAGATCACCACTGCCACCACCTTCCCCTCTCCACTAACCACCCCCACAAGACTAAAGTATGGTGCTGCTTCGATATGGACTTCCATCACGGCTGGTCTGAAATCGCCGATAACAAAGCAAGCCTTGTCATCGAAGAATTACTCAAGTATAAGACCGAGCCGGTTTACAAAAAAGGATGTGTACGGGTAATGTGTATTGGAAACACCTCAGTCACGGTTTGTAACGATGTAAGTGCCTCTGTCACACGAGTGGGGAAAATTTTTAATGAAAAAATAATGATAGAATGAGCATGTCGTTACAGTATCGACTGATACTATGGCAGCGTTCGTGGGTGCTGTTCAGGATGTGTGTGGAAGAAAATTCAAAAAGAAGCTTGACGATGAGGGTGGTCAAACCTTTGATGAGAAAAAGTTCAACGTCATTGTCAGAGCTGAGAACTGCAATGACATCGTGGTAGAGCCCCCTGAATGAGTTGTGGGAGGTGCCCTTTGATACTTATTAGTTGAACCACTTGGATGGTACTCGGAAGCTAGAATCATCTTTGAAAAGCAATCCTGAAGTTGGTTGGATGGAGTTTGGATTAGGATAAAATCTGTAATGTAATGAGCGGGTTCTCAGGGCTGAGATTTGAAGTTATCCAGGTGTGTTCCTAGATGGGAAAGGATCGAATGAATAAAACATGTCAAATCATAATGACGACAATTGGGTCCATGTCTCATGAACCAAAAGAAAGCGAATACTACAAAGTATACCATAACGCCATTCCTCCAGTAACACAAGAATAGTTGAAACCCACAACTACAATTTATGTGACTTGACCGAATTATTACTATGTGACACCTGTATCTAAGTAGTGATTTCGATATAATACACACTATCCTTGAGGTTCTTTTTACCCAGTTATTTCTTATGTAACATAGTTGCTTAGATTCTATGAGACTGTATAGTTTCTCATACCCCATCATCTCCTAGGAATATGATTCATTGAAGCCAACGTTAGGCATCTGGAATACGATTCCATTCCAGAGTAGAATATTCTAGAGGCTCTTAAACTTGGAACGGCATACTCTGGTAGATGAAGCTCTAGAATTCGGAATTGCAGAGTGTATTTGTATATTACTTTTGATTAACTAGAGAGCTCAACTTAAAGTAAAATAAGGTATTATTATATCGGTTAGTTATATACACTAGCTAGCGTGGCACGCTCATTGTGTGTACAGTACGTGCTAGCGTACTCCACTGCTGTGTACAAACAGTCATGCATATACACCTGTTTACAAAATAGAGAATTTTCCGTCTAAGATGTCAGACAATATTAAGTACTATCACTGTCCTAAGCTTCCATTCTGTCGAAAGGACCAGAACAAACATTTTAAATCTTATATAACAACTTCTTAAGTGGTATTCTAGATTCTAGATTCTATGGTCTGGAAGTGGAATATTCCAGGCAGGAGGTCAGAAATGGAAAGGAGATCCCGTTACCAAATGCTAATTTAAAGTAACAGCAGAGTTGAGAGACCCAGGAAATCAATACACTATACTAGCACAGAAAACAAGAAACAGCACGAATGTAAACCCACACCTCAAAAACAAAACCCAACCAACGATATACTCAATAAACCACATAATCTTCCAGCAACAAACCACCAAAATCACCCAAAATAAAAATCCAGTCAACCAACCTACTCCAGGACTCATTACCCCCAAACACTGGACAGTAGAAGCACATCACCCCCCCTTGACATTTCATCACTTTAACAACCCAATACTTCAAAAACGTAACACAATCAGACTATCGATCCACGTAAATATAGCCTACTAAGAACTTCGTAATTCTACTATCGGCATAACATCCTCTACGTAGCTGAAAACCCAGCTACACCGTACCAGAAAAGGTCCCTATATCTCTTCTGCCTTCTATACAAGCAATACTTCACGAATATTATATGAAAAACGACCTTCCTTAATCCCCCAACCCAACTCTCTAACCCCTCCAGGTTTCCAAACCTACTTCACATCAAAACCCTCTCATCTCAGATCCCAAAACCCCTTCGCAAAAGACAAAACCCAGAACAAGAACCAGATACACTTCGATGCAAAGACGTCTATCAACAAGCACACACACCACACCATACACCACAAAAACCAAATATCCAATCAATTCCCCCCCAAAAAGATCTATCCCCCCGTCTCTCAACCAACTGACATCGTCTCGAAAAACACATTTCCAGTAAGAACCAGTAAAATTTTATACAGTAGCTACAAGTAAGCAGCTACACATCAAGACGCAATAGCAAAACACCGTATTCAGTCAAGTTAGTCATGTCCATACCTCTCAACGAACCGAGTAGTTTGATAATCGATCCAACGAACTCCGATGTAATGTCGTGCTGTACTGTAGCTAGTATCACCTCGAGATCTTAGACAAGTTGCACATAAGAAGTGGAGTATACACGGTATCGTAGCTCACCCCAGAATTGCATCAAAGAAAAGTTTGGAATTACAGTATCAACGTATTGGCCAATCGAAGGACACTTGTAGGATCTAGAAATGGAACTTCGTCCCATGGCCTTGCCAAACCTCCTACAACTGTAGTATATCGGTACGCATGACCTCGAAACAAGAAACCAATACTCTTCCCAAAAGTCCAAAAAAGAAGCAATATAGCTACTCGATTCACGTTAAAAGTTTCTATCTCACAGAAGAGAGAAATGGAGAGAAAAAAAAGTCACCAGCAATCACCGCCGCAAATAAACTCTGTATGTACAATCAAGTACCATTTTTAGAAAAAGAGATTATCTACCAGTACTGACCAAGGCATTGTCAAACAACAAGCCATCCCTGTATCATCAACCGGTTGATTCCCAGGACATCCCCAGATATTCCAGTATTCATGGCGTCATTCGTGTGAGCGAAGAAAAAGAATTGAAGGCCCTCCGTAGCGACAACCTCGTTACTCAGATGAACTCCTCCCAAATGTTGTTGCTGTGCTCCATATGTGTTCCCGCAACGCTCTCGAAAACATGAGCAAAAAGGAGAAGAGAAAAAGAAGCCTCGCCGGCAATATCGTACAGATGATTGAACAAGAAAGTGAAAAGAAGAAACGACCGGAACACCTCCTCCATTGAAAAAAATTCAATGCCATGGGTATGTACAAAAAACACCTGTCCAAATGGAAATGCCGAAACTGTGCACGCACGCTAATGAATTGGCCAGAAGCGCCCAAATCAAATCGAACCGCCAGGAACCGGCAATGCGAAGAAAATGACCCGAAATGTTTGTAAGGAAGTTCCATGTTGGTGCGACAGCATGACTCAGAGGTTGTATTGCGCATCGTCTTGGTGGATGGTGGTGCTACGGATAACCAGAGTCAATATTTTCAGATGAAATTATTCGAGCCGTAAAAGCTTTGCGAGGAGGATGGAAAAGTGTCTTCGGCACTGGCTCGTAAACATAAAGTAACCTTCACGGAACTGGCAAATCAAAACAGATACAGTAGAAGCGCAACAACAATCAAGAACGCAATTGACAAGAGATAGAACCAAATTGCAACACTCTGGTACTACTCACGTTCTGACTGGATGTCTGCCACAGCGTCTTGGCTTGCTGGGCTTTCCACGGAAGCAGTTGGGTTTGGCTTTATCATCTGCTGGGAGACCAAAGTTACGCTTCATGCTGCAGTACTCGAGTTCCTTGGGCATCCAGGATTTGATGTGTTGATGGAGCTCGCATCTGTACATTCCGCAGTGGTTGCACTCTTGCTTGCCGACGACCTCCCAAGCAGCCTCGAGCGCATTTGGACCAGGGCGACGCGTGTTGAGGGGCATCTTGGTACCATAGATAGCGCGATAGACGGCGTAGTAAGCAGGAGATGTTAGGCTGAGGCAGGTGGAATCAATTGGGTCAAGATAGCTGAAGACTTGTAGTTGAAGCTCAGTGGGCAACCGGGTCAGGGTAGCTCCATTGCGGCCTTTGCCCAAACTCAAGACAAGTCGCTTGATGAGTTCTGGTGTGAGCTTGAAAAGGTATCTGTCTTCCTCAGGAGTACCAGGTTCTGTGTCAGTGCTAGCAAGCGTGTCGTTGTCGTTATCTGAGGAGCCAGAAGAGCTTGTGAAGCCTGTCGTATTTGGTCCATTGGTGGCCATTGTTGCTGTATCGAGACTCAAGGCTGAATACAAGGGGGTTCCTACAATTGATGCGATTGAGGTGAAATTGAATGTGGTTGAGGTCGTGTTTGGGTCAGCGGAGCCAGAAGGGCTTTCGACACCTGTGGTGGCTATTGTTGTTGAGTTCGCATACAGAGCGCTTCCAGCGTTAGACGCAAAATTGAGCGTGGTTGCGAACAAGTTTGGATTTTGACCAATCAGAATGTTTGCGATATTCAGGCGGGCAGCTGAATCCTCACGACAAATTCTGTCAAGAGCAAGCTCTCTCAAAGACGAGCAGGTGCGCGTCAGAGCGAGCAGAGTTGGTTCGTCAACGTAAGAGACAATGAGTCTGCTGAACTCTGAGTAGACACTTGATAAAATATTAGTTTGAATGGGTATACTAGGGCATCATTTTACTAACTTGTGGATTAACATTTTGAACAATCTGGTTGTCAAAGACGACCGACGCAAGACGTGATGTGATGTGGTGACTGTCTGTTTGGTATCAATGTCGGTGCAGCGAGAGAGAGGTGGATATTAGACCTGCCTGCGCACCGATTATTTGGGCTTGCCAGTGCCTTTGGAGCTGCTCAATGAGACCGACTGTACTTTGTACTTTATACCAGAATGCGACTGTGATGTTGGAATTCAAGATGCAAACCCACCTGCGCTGCACTGCTTGGTGTGGTGGTGTGCAAAAAGTTATGGTTGCCAGTCTAGCAAGTCAGGGTCCGACGACTACTTTAGCGGCCGAGGTCAATACCGATTTGTAAATTATCCAACTGTCTTGTCGTCTGATGGAGGTGAGGCAATCAAGGCGGTGTGTCAAACTACTGGTTGGAGTTTAGACAGTTTTAGGCGCACGACTCCGAGGTAAGTCCAGGTTGGCAGAAGGGGGATCGTGAGATTTCTAGGTGTGTGATTTGATAGAACCAGAGTCAGGTGTCATGCAGTAGTGCAGCATATCGCTGTCGGTACGAGTTCATACCTGGCCTCCTAGTCCGCTCCAGGAGCCAGAGTTGGGATATCCTCCGATGCCTTTATGCTCACTCAATTTGATACTGGTTGGTATCAACTAGACAATTCTATTATTGTCCGTCAAGTACCTCCCTTTTCTCCTGAGTTAAACAAGGCACAGGGAACATGACTTGGGAATTGAAAACAACAAGAAACAGCAAGTGCTTGCAACGCAGAAATTATTGAACGTCAATTGTAAATGACAAGATTCCCGCGAAACATTCACAAATCATGAGAAATAACAGATAGTGCAGTAAAAGTATGTCAAGAGTGCACTTAACCTATTTAGTGGGGGAAGTACCATTCCACCCAGATGCGAATCACCAATTGCTCCAACCCAAAAATATTGCCCGCTATTGCCATTCCCGTTATGTTTGATGTTGAAGCTGTCGTCGTCATCAAGCTCCTTATATGGAGATCCAAATCACACTGACAACAACATCCAACCCCTTACTCTCTCCTCCCTCGTACTTGAAGCTCCACATCCCGTCGGTCTTCTCGTTCCAGTATGCTCCGGTTGCGCTGTGCATTCCTCTTCGTCCAAAGTGTGGCTTGCCATCGGTTCCCGTAGCCTCTGTCTTGACGTCGCTCGTCGAGATCTTTGCTTCTTCTTCTTGCTTTGGTGCTGCGGATTCTTGAGATGCCTTGGCCTTGTTCAGAGCAGAGGTTGGGACTAGGTGTTGGATGATTGTGCTGTTGACGGCGTATTTGAAGGATGGGCTGCCACCAGAAGGAGATGACTCGGAAATCAGTGAGCGGAGGATGGAGTTCTATTGTTACAATTCTGTTAGTCGATTGGCTTGGATTTGGAAGGGCGCAACCGTCAAGGGCAACAAACTATGATTGTCGTATTCCAGGTTTCTGTCTTTGCATGCTCATAGTATTCGGCACTTCCAAGAGCACTGTTGCATGCCTGGAAGTTGTCAGTTCAGTCGAGCGCAGGCGGTGGAAAGGCAGCATACATCATTGGCAATCTGCTTCAGCCGCGTGAAGGAAATCGGCTATGGACTTGTCAGTTTGAGGCTACGGTGAGACTTCAAGGAATATACTCACTGGTGTAGATGCAGACATTTTGTGCGTAGAGACGGACTCAAGGATTTGGAAATGCCTGGAGATGTGATGGAGATGTAGTTGAGGTACAAGTGTGTTTGTACTACTCCCAAGACATGCAGCTATATGAGCTAAATCTGGGGAAGCAGGCCTAACCAATCAGGGGCAATGTTGTGAGTGGCGAGGCTGAAGTAAAATGTCAGTGAGGGGCCTGCGCAACACAACACGCCCCACCTGTGACACTCACCCTGTACTACTGGGCTAGCACTACTGTAGAGGGATCTTGTGACATAATTCTAAAGGTAAACAAGAGACTATCAAGTACTTATACTTATACTTTGATAGCCTTAATACCTATCGTATGCGGTGATCAATTGATAGCTCCGTTCATACCTACTTACAGTATTTGGGATAGTGTAGGTACGTACTAAGCTAGCAACCACCTAAAATGAAGGTGTGAAGTAGAGGTTAGGTTACTGGACTGGCTTGTACTGTACACAAATATGTTCCGAGAATGAAACACAAACACATGGCTTTCATGTGCCAACAAGGCCTACAGAGGGAATAATGCCTTCTTATTTCCAAGCGGCAACGAAATGCCGTATATGAAATGCCGTATACGAAGCAATCTTCTTATTCCAGCCTCCAACAGGGTAATTCCTACTGTAATCCTCATTTGTGTGCGTTCCCTCCACCACTCACAAAGATACTTAGGGGCACGTTCTCAAAAAAAGTCCAGGTGGGGCGGGGGGAGAACGCCCAAAGTCCTCACAATGGACCGGGCGAGCTACCAAACAAGGTTTTGAACTTTATCTGTCGTGACATGTTTACTGTCTAACAGAGTCTTCCCCTCACCACTTTGAATCCAGCTACCAACATATCGTCAGAGTCAACAACATAATTACTAGTACCGTAGGTATTGACTTTCTCTCGCACGACACCCTCGCAGCACACAGTACACATCTGTCAATCAACTTCCCTGTCCACTTTATCCCTACAGAGAGCACACCTCACCTTCCAAATTATGTCAAGCCAACCTCTTCTTCAATCCGTGACTGGTGAGTAGTCTCCGACCATCAAGTCAATCTGTCGCCTGCCTACTACTTCTGCGAACAAGTCCTATGGCTACGGATGGATCAGAGCTAACAGCGTTCATGCAGGCAAGCGTATTGCGCTCCCCACCCGGGTTGAACCGAAAGTTTTCTTCGCAAATGAACGTACTTTTCTCTCATGGCTCAGTTTGGGCGTCGTGATCGGAGCACTTGCCATTGGCATGTTGAACTTTGGTGACCGACCAGCCTTCATCTCCGCCTTCCTCTTTACCCTCGCTGCCATGTTGACCATGATCTACGCCCTCGTCACCTTCCACTGGAGAGCAAAGTCGATAAGATTGAGAGGTCAGGCTGGATTCGATGACAAGCTTGGTCCTACCCTCCTCACCATTGTCATTCTGGTCGCTATGACGGTCAACTTTGTGCTCCGATTTACTTACGAAGCGAAGGGTCCAAAGCATGGGAAAAACTGAATTGATAGTCGGTGTGGGTTCTGAGAGACGGAAGATGGAAGGAGAGACAGTTGTAATACTACCGCATGATGAATGGTGGGATCAATCATGCATGGGATAAGTGGAGGTTGAGAAACAACCAGGCGTTCCTGGCTGCGTGGCTCACTCAATAATACAATTTGGATTTACGTCGGGATGCTGGAAGGGAATGGACTGGATAAGCAGATGGGGGAGGCAACCTTGTATTGTAGGATAGCGCTGGAATTTTCAGGTACACTTGTGAATAAGAAATCGTGGTACCATATTATTTTTCACATACGCTACGCAGACTCGGGAAATGATTTCTGTACAATACAAATCCATGCGTTCCTAGTCTTGGCTCTCGACTTTGTTTGAATTAGTAAAAGTTACAAGATTCCACTATTAGCGACGAGGCCATTCAGTATCACCTGGTACCTCTACCGCATTAGTTTGTTCTCTGTTGATTTGTTAGTTTTATATATAAATCCATGGAGCCTAGCATCAAAACACACTTACCCATACTTCTTCCTCAAACCTTCAATTCGAATTCTGGAGAGGTATATTGCCAAGTGAGGGATTGCCCTAACCTTTGGCTTTTCCAAGATTGATCTCTCAAAGGGCGTCTTCATTGTCTCGAATGTCTCCTCGTCTTCGTCCTCTTCTTTTTCATCCCCATCGCCTTTTGAGCTTGTGCCACCATTGCTTTTAATACCATCCTTCTTCTCCTTCTTCAGCTCTGTGATTTGATAAACCATATTATATTGAAACCATTTCCCCTCCTTGGAAGCAATATCTCGTTTTGCAATCTCAATTATCGTGATTAACTTCGATGCCGTATCTGCTTTCGAGTGAGCCAGTACCAGAGCCGGCTTCGCTGGGGAAATTGTCGGATATCGCGCTAAGTGCTTGAGCACTGCTGTTGTCTTCTTCTCAATCTTGGATGATGATATAGTGCTCATGAAAAGAACATCATGCGATTTCGCAAGGTCTCCGAAGACTGGGGGGGCATTTCCGGATACTATGCTTGCGGGTCCTTTCGTAGGCACCTCTTCAAAAGAATGTGGCTCGGTATATACCGTCGATATGCTTGGATAAGTCGTGCCTTCGTCTCTGGAGTCCTCCTCATCAATCGTCTTGGTTCTCTTTGGAATTTGTATTTCAGAAGACTCGTCTGCGTCGGTGATTATAGAATCTTGCTCCTTTCCCTCCCGCTTTCTCTTCTTCTGATTTCCACCATAGGCATCCTCCAAAAGGCTTCTCTGGCTGCTGCCGGCCTTGGTTTTCTTCGTTCGTGCCATTTTTTGTTGTTGGTGACAGAGGGGCTGGGTACAGGCTAGCCTTACGGAGCTCCAGCTCCAGGTCTTCAGCCTTGCCCCACAAAAGCTGCAGTCTTTTTTGTTGCCTGAAGATATTTTGACCTGAGGCGCCAAAAACCCGAGCTAAAAACGATCCTCAACCTTCCGAGTTCCCCGGGCCAGGGCATTTCCCTCTTCCCACTTCATCCACAATTCCGAAAAGAATCTGACGGCAACTTCTCCATAAAAAGATTTAGAAACCTCTCGTGTCGGAAATGCATCTCTCGATTCCGACCGCTTGGGTTTTATCGATAACCCCACAATGCGGCCTTATTTCTGTCTCTTGGATTTTACAGATTACCCGGCCTCGAATATCACTGAAAAATAGGTCGAAATGGGTCAAATAGGTTGCGTACGTTGTACTCCATAGGTAACCAGTATTACTCGAGTCAATAACTTCCCACTTTACGGTATCATCGGTATGATACCACAAATACCACTATCGCCGCCATCAATCCTATTTTGGGACCCCAAGTGGGGTTTGCGATGACAAAACAGGAAGATACATACACTACACTCACACCCCCACACACATCTTCCATTCGTTCGAATCATCTGTACAAGTATTGCTTTTGATTTCGTCACCTCGTCCAGGGCAGGAAGTTGGAACATACTATTGGACATGCCTTGCATGATTTCCTATGCACACTCTAGCACAGCCCTCTCGAAATTGTGTGTGTGCCACCATATATAGTCTATATCGCACCGTTTGAAGCCACTCGATAGCTTCTTGGTGACACGAGTACTACCTTCTCCATATATGTTTTCCTTATTTTGGCACAACCAATTCGTTTTCGGTGAAGGCCTAGACCTTGTCTTTACACGGAATTTGACAGAGTGCTTTTATTGGTGGGATTTTGGTATTTTATTTCGAAAACTTGTTTTGCGGATGGGATTTCGAGAATGAGTGGTTCTACTGCTCCGGGAGATGTCTGTTTTTGTTCCATATTTCAAGTCTATATATTACTGGCAGTCCAGTAGTCAAGTGTTGTGATGTGCTGTACCCATGATTTTGGCTGGACCGGCCATCTTTCTGTTTGAATACTTGCTGGCTGTGGAGTTTCCAGTCACTTTTAAGGATCTTGCAGGTTGATCTCGCGAACAAACATTCGCCGGTACCAAGATACCCTTCAAGGTTAGAGGAAGATTTATTGTCTGGTTTTTCTTATTCAGAGTTGCGAATTTCCGTTGTTGTTATTGTTGTCGTATCAAAGCTCGTTTGATTCATTTCTCTCACTCCCCCCCTTTTTAAGAATCTGATTCAGTGATTCTCCTTGAGGTGTACTTGAGAGGACCATGATCTACTATCACTAGTGAGCAAAACTTGTCTTGCGCTTATTATTGCGGGGTATCTATGGCACTTTCTTTCTACCTACACAAGAATAGCTAAGACCTGCTGCCTCTTCCGAATAAGGCCTTACATCTTGCCCCCTTCTGAATGCCTACCTAGTAGTAACATAATGGACTTGGGTTATATTATTGTAATACTATGACTTTGTAGAGTGTCCAGGTCTAATAGGAGCGATTCACGGATTACATAGGCGTACGAGTATCTTGGATTCTTTGACAGGAAAGCTTTCGTTTCATCTCAAGTTCTACTTGGGATATCGCATATCTAAATAGTGTTATTCCTCATCGCAAGCAAAGATCAGAGAAGAATACTGTATAAATTTCTATTCTCTTTGCTTCATTGGTTATCAGAGAAGCGCATAGCGAGTGACATACGTCAAGGCTTCGACTCATAAATATCAACTGCTCGCTTATTGTTCCTCTACTACAAGTTTCATATACAGGACGAAGACTAGTATGATTCACGTTCGTCTAAGACTCCATCCATTCACGAGCGACGTAAACAGCTCTGACCGTCCACTAAAGATGATTCCTAAATTAACTAGCGATTCACTTACTCGCAGCCGCGCTTGGTTTCTTATTGACAGATACACATCTACGGATAGATGAATCAAATGTACGAAGTAATGTTTCACCTTCACTTATTAGAATTTACGATTAGATTATCGGTTATCTTGAAAAGACATGTAATAAGCGTTCAGATTCTTGTAAAAAGGGGGGAAGATAAGGGTAAATTCAAGTCATTTCGGACGAGCTTCCCTTGGTTATGATGGTTATGATTACCCGTGCTTACCCAGTAGGCAGATGGCGTGAACTCAAAGTGGCGAGTGGCTGTGCTGTGTTGGATAGACAAACGTGCTCAAGCTCGTCCCTTGAGGTGACTGGAAGTGGAAAAGTGCTCATAAGGCAAGACTTGGAAGTTGGGATATTACGAAGTAAAAGTAAAAGCACCAATAATGAATCCCGAGGAAAGCAAATGAGACAAATGAGTACCGGACGCTCGGACTATCATTCCCTTCTTGATGGGAATAGAAGTAGATTACGATTGGCAGAAGGCCCAGTTATGGTGGGACGTGCGCGGTTAATCAGCACTCTATCAAAAGGAAGCTGCGCTGCGTCAATAGATTCCGTGCGAGCGATTAACGATCATTGATCAACCTCAAGCTGTAGGGGGTTTCACGGAGGCAAGGGAGACCTGGAAGGTTCTGGAATAGAGCGGAGATATCAAAAAGTCAGTCACTACTGAAAGTATGCTACTCAGGGCGGGCGAGGAAACAATTGCGTGCTGGCCCTGGAGGAAGAGCCGTGTAGGGCATAGGGCAGCTGAAGCCAATGATTCCGAGGCTTTGCGTGTGTGTTGTGCTGCATCAGATCTGATATTGAAACGTACTCCGTAGCCCAAAATGTCATAATGTCCAATCTATACGGGTGGATCCCCAAGGCAACGCTCGGCCACGACGCTGCAGTGAGCGCTGTGAGCCCCAGAACAACCCCTAGGGGTATTCCTTGGCGCCTGCTAGACACACCCTCGACCCTTCCTGGGGAAGGAGCACGACCAATCACGGCTCGCCACCAGGGTGACTCTATCAGCCAAGACCCACCCGCGCTACCTCACCTTCGAATGGCGCTCCAAGGTTCTTCTCTTACCAGGAAGGTCGTTTGTCCCGAGCCAATCCTCGGCTCCACCCAGCGCCACAGACTCTGCGCTAGTCCGTGTTTGGAATGCTGGGCAAAAGTATGCAAATCCATCTTTCTCCAGCAACCGACGGACCAAGTCGCCCATCTCATTGCAACAACAAAAATCCCTTCTCCTGACCATCTTCACAGCACCACCGCCCTGCCCACGACACGACACGCCGCCCAACCTCGATACACCTGGATTGCGCCCACGAACCTCGCGCGTCTCTTTTTCCACCCAAATACCTCGTTTGTAATTCCCTCGCCTCGTCGCCTTTTTTTTCTGCGCGTGCCGACTGTTGTTTTGTCCTTTTGCACCGGCCTCGTCATCACACCATTTGGCTCTCGCTGTCACAGGCGTTTCGGTCGCCGCCTCACTGCCCCCGAACACCCTACCTACACCCACTCCCACTCCCACAACCCCAACTGGCCCCTTCCCCTACTCTGCTACCATTCGCCACGACGGCACCCTTATCCACACTCAACCTCAAGCACAACCACACCTCCTTCACCACCACCACCACCACCCAACTCAAAACCTTCGACCCTTCGATTCTTATCACTCCTTGCCAACCCCCAACTCGCATTGCGCTTTTCGATCTACGATCTTTTAATTAATCTCTCTCCTTCCCTCCTTTGTACAACTATTCCGTGCGCTTTGTAGGATTGCTANACTCCTTGCCAACCCCCAACTCGCATTGCGCTTTTCGATCTACGATCTTTTAATTAATCTCTCTCCTTCCCTCCTTTGTACAACTATTCCGTGCGCTTTGTAGGATTGCTAGGGGCTATTTATAGAGGGACCCACCCATTTCTTCGTCCGTTTCGGCTCGACGTCACCGTCGGCTCGGCGACGCCCGCAAGCGCTACATCAGTGAATCTTGCGCCCGGCACCACCACAACGCCAACTGGACCCCAGACTGTCATTGCGATCTAGGTCTTCATTCACCGGCCTTCCCGCATCACGACCATAAAAGCGCCAGGTCGCGCGACAATCCGGTGGAGAGCTACGACTCTTCAACCCATCCCTCGAATGTTTGGCCTTTCGCCGTCGTGGATCAACGAACCCACGGGTTATGATCCGCTAGTTAATGGACATTTAGAACAAATGGCAAACGCCATCTCACCTACGGTGGAAATGCAGAATTCAGCAGCAGTGTTGAAGCGGAAGAGAGAAATCACTCCAGATGCGCCCGGCGAGCAGAATGAAGCGGCAGCTTCGCGTGAGACTAAACGATGGAAGTCGAATGTGTTGAATGGTGATCTGCCTACACCCAAAGCAAGCCCACCAGCGCACCCATGTACTGACGTCCCGGTGGTTCCTGCGACTCGCATACAGGAAACCATCGAGACGCAGCTTGGTCTGGAGATTCTGCTGAAGCACAAGGAGCTGCGGCTAATCAACCAAGAACTCGCAAAATGTCAAGTGGCTTTGGAGCAACTCCGTCGGTGTCATCTCATCCCCTATCCTGTATCTCAAGGAACTTCTCAGTCAAGGATGGATGTTATGAATGGGACAGGTCCTGCCGTATCTCAACGTGGTTCTGTACCGCAATGGGCACCTGCTTTTGGAGTCACTGATGGGCCCTACTCAAGACACTACTCAAAATGGCTCATTCCAGATCCCAGTTTCGATGGCGAGCAGGTTGAATGGTATAGAACTTCTGAACTATCACGTGCTGGAAAGACTATTCCAGAAGGTCGTGCTACGAGACACAGCTTCGCAGAAGGTAGCACTGCTGCGAGCAAGTCGAGGTCTCAACGGGGTTCTACAGGGCAGAAGCTTCATGCTTTGTCCAACGGATATCCCCAAGCCAAAGAAAAGGCAGGTCCATGTATTCTCAAACGTGCTGACGGACAAATGGTCAAACTTGTTTGCATTGATTGTAAGCGAGACAATTTCTCGAGTACTCAAGGGTTCATCAATCATTGTCGTATCGCCCATCGCCGCGACTTCAAGAGTCATGAAGAAGCAGCTGTTGCAAGCGGTCAAGCGATCGAGGTTGATGAAGTGGGCAGCATCGTTGGAGAAGAGAAAACTCCAACGGTGGCCACCGGACTGGTACATCCTATGATCCGAACCGCCCCTTCCGACAACAATGCTTACCGTGCGCTCCTATCTCGTATCGAAACCTCTATGAATATGTATCGACAGGGCAAGCTACCTGGTGTCACGTCGATACCCAAAGTCTCGCCATCAGCGCCGTCAGTAAAGGCTGAATCACTTAACAAATTTGTACCATCATTAGACACACCACACCTTTCAAATCTCATGAAGATGAAAGGATTTGGTGGAAACCTCACGGACATTGTTAGCGATGCAAAGAAAATATCTCCCGAATTCAATGATTCATCACATGATGAAGAATCTGATATAGAGAGTCCGGGACAGCAGCCTCGAGAGATGTCAAACTCACACCCTCCCCCTATGCGTATGCCTGCCCGAGCAGCCATGTCACCAGTACCATTTGGACGACCCGGAAGCAGCAAAGGTGTCGAAGTACATGCACGCGTACCCAGTGGAATCTCACCACGTTTATCTCATGCACTATCATCCTTCAACGCAACCCCTATGGTTCCTCCATCGCGACCATCTACTCATCTTAACATCCACACCCCAAGCCAAATTGCAATGCCTGAGCGCCGAGATATGGATATAGATATGATGCATGGCCCTTCAATCCATGACCTCAGTCCTAACACGGTAGCCAGCAACAATGCGCCAAGTTTGGTCAGTGATGATGGAGAGTATGAGGATGGAGATGATGTGGAAAGTGTTACCTCTGCCTCAGATCATGGAAGTGATGTTGCGGAAATCTCTATTGAGGACGGTGTTGAAAAGGTAGTGGCTCGTGCTGTGATGCGAAAAGGCAACGAGGGTTTGCGAAAGGACGAGAACAAGCACGTCACGTTTGTCACGCCTGTGAGCGAGACAGGAAAGGATCGACGATGAAAAAGCGAAATGTTTTATATGGGATCGATGGATTGAAGCGACATTTTTTTTTTTTGCTTTTGGCTCAATTTGTTTTTTTGAGCGAGATTTTATTTTCGAGAGCGATGATGAGAATGCGCGCCTTTGTTTACGTTATTTGCTGCTGTGGCAGCTCATTTTATTGCATACCAAAGACGACAACTCTTCTCTTCTACCGTTTTCTCTCTATCTCTTCTCATGAATGAATAGAAAAGGCACACTTTTTTTTCATGTATGATAGACATTACCTCTTTTTTTTTACAGGACAGCGCAGCGGTTTGGACTGGGGCGAGGTCTGGGCCTGGAAAGGAAAGGAAAGGAAGGGCAGACAGATGAGAGATGAAGGCAACGGAACGAAATTCTTTCTTGGTGTAGGGGTTGTTGCCTTGTATGTTGGTGGCTCTCTTTAGAGTCCCTCTGGCTGGCTGGCTCTTCTCTTCCTCCTCTTTTTTCTTTTTTGCTTGCTTAGCGAATTGAGAGGTGCAAATTTCGCAGAGCTGAGCTGAACTGAACTGAACTGAGCTGAGTAGACATGGGGGTTATATATATCTTTTTGTAATACCACGAAAAATGAAATGAAATGAGATTCTGAGAGGCGATTTGCTGCTTCTTCTTCTTGTCTTCTTGGAATGATGGGGTATTGGATATGATGAGTGAATACTTGGATACGTGAATGAATTAGGGAGGAGGGGGATCATTCATGATGTGTTGTGCTGAGGTTGATGGGGTATAAGTATGAGGGGTGAATATGGATACGTGAATATGAGGGTAAAGGGGCGGGGAGAGGGGTTTCATTACGTTTCTGGTTCCCTTTCTCTTCTTCTTTTTTTTTGTTTTCTTGTGGGGTTTCGTGGGTAACCCAGCGTTAGAAATGATTTGATTTGATTTGATTAATAGTACTTAATCAAATCAAATCAGATTAATATATCGATTAATCAAATCAAATCGCCAAGTGATTAGATTTATTCGGATTAATTCAGATTAACCGGAGTCGGGTCGGTCCGACCTCGGAGTATAGTCACATCTAGTCCGACCTCTCTATATAAAGTATAAGTAAGTTTTTAAACTATTTACAGAGAATTCTTTACTAATTAGTTATATAGACTCTTCCCTTACTTTAGTAGAAGGCTTATAGTACTATATATAGTCACGTATAATTACATAACCTACTTATACCTTAACTAGGATTAGGGTAATAAAGACTCTTTAGGCTATACTAGTAATAAGCTTAAAAAGATAGGAGTGTTTCGTAGACAAGGATAAGGATATACTACTAAAAGACGCGTTATTTAAGGATAATTACTTTATACTTTAGTTACTATATATAGTTTATATTAATTAATTAATACTCTGATTAACTAAATCGGTTAATCAAATTAAATTAACTAGACCTGTTAATTAAATCAAATTAATTTAAATCTGAATAATTTAGAGTATTGATTGATTAGTTGATCATTTTTTTTCCAACGCTGACGGTGGGTTTGAGGAGCGGGATTGAGTGTAGAGTTTGAAGTTGAATTTCTTGTCTTTTTTTAGTATTCTCTGGGATTTTCATTGCTTAGACTATGGTATTAGTAAGATTACAAAAGGGGATACAAACGCCATTTTTTTTTAAAAAAAAAACATCCGTTGCTGGCCATCTGGTATCGTTATAGATGGATCAGGTGTATGTTTATTGGCTAATCATGATAAGGTATATATAGGTAATACTCTAATCCACTCTAAAAACACTTTGTAACATCGACAGTAACATCACAATAAAACTCCCACCTCCAATTCCAAACTCCAACTCCAACTCCAACTCCCAACTCCAAATTCATCATCATCAATACAACACCACACAACACCACACACTAGAATTCAATACCCCCTCACCCTCCCCCCCCAAATCATCTCCAAACTACCTTGACTTAGACTTCGGAATCGGTCCTCCTGCTCATACTGATCTCACTACCACTACTACCCTTTGAAACCCTACGGATTTCCGCGCGCACATTCCCGTTCTCGAGCGTGAGTTCTTGGATTCGGGTTGTGAGGGTGGAGTGCTCTTCTGCGGTTGCTATGCCTGGGGAGGGGAGGGGTGTTAGTTTGGGGGGTTTTTGAGGTGGGGAAGGGGGTTGGTCAGGGGGTTGGAGGTTCTTTTAAGGGTTTATGGAGGAGTGGATTTTGGGGGGCTGGGGGGATGGGAATGGCAGGAGGAGGAGGAGGAGGAGGAGGAGGAGAGTTTTTGTTTGATGCAGGCTGAGGAAGGTGAGGGAGGAAGGATATGGATGTAGAAAGACATGGGGAAAGAGGTGGACTCACTGAATTCCTCGATAATCTTGAAGACGCGCCACAGACGTAGGATTATTATCAGAGACCCGATTTCTTCGAGGGTTCCGTGGAGGAGGACGTCGATGGTGAAGGAGGCGAGGATGACGAGGGTGTCGAGGAGGTGGAAGGGGGTTGTTAGGTATCTGGATTGAGGGGTGGGGTTTAGTATCTGGTCTTCTTTTTTTGGAGAGGAAAGGGAGGAATTTGGAGATGGATTGGAGATGGATTGGAGGGAGTGAGTGTATGAGTAAGTGGATGTAGATAGCATCATGGCATCAAGATTCAGGAATTGAAACACGAGGACGGGAAATGATAGTGGAGAACATGGAAACATTGAGATGTAGGAAAGATAATATACCTCCACCCAAAAACCCAGAGGTTCAAACATAACTCTACCATGAAGAGACAACTGAATACCAAACCTGCGATGCCGAGACCGCTACGTGCGTTCTCCCATTTTCGGCTCGAATCTGGGAAATCGCATTGGTGGAGGTTGATGGTTATGTCGGCGAAGATGGTTAGTAGGTCGAGGGATACTAGGAGGAGGACTGGGGTGGGTTAGTGATTGGTTTTTTGAGTAGAGGTTTGGTTGGGGCGGTTTCTTCTTCTTCTAGGTTGAAGATGGAGAGGGAAGGGGAGTCGAGGGTGAGGGTTATGAGAGGGGGGAGGGGGGAACGAGAGAGGGAACAAGAGAAGAGAATAGTATGAGATAGACTAGTGGACTAGGCTATGTGATTCATTTAAATAAGAAGAATCGAAGTTACTTTCCCTTCTGCTTTTGAAGAAAACATTTTGGCTATCAACTTGTTCCATTCAAATCCCGTAACCACTTGACGAGCCATCAACCAGAAAGCAGAAACTGAGAAATCGGATATCCACACCGCCTACTTACCTATCAAGAACTAGCAAAAACAAAATAGAGGCTTGGAATTTCGTATAAGAGACTTGAAAGAACAGGAGATAGCGAAAAAAAAAGAGACTTACTTGTATAATGCTGAGCTGCGGAAGATAGATACCATCTCGTTCGTCCGTAAATGAACCTGTAGAAGCTGACGATGGGATGGTGGTGGTGGTGACTTGTTTGTGTGAGGAAGGTTGTATTTGTTGGCGTGGGAGAGATTTGGACGAGGGGTGAGCTTGCGGAGGGGTCGTCTGTGGAGGGTGAGGGCATTTTTGAGATTTTGGTCCGTACTCGGTTCGCTACCTCTTGGTGTCGTTTGTTGGTACGTTGTGGATTTATGAGAGTGAGAGGTTGGGAGAGGTTAAGGTTACTGTGCTTGTTACAGGGATCATGGGGACATAAGTTTTATGGAGGATCAAGGATTTTGTGTTACCGTGTTTGTGAATTAGAACTTCTGGCCTACTACCTTTTAGTATTTATTTATAGCCTACGTACGATAGCTAATAGTTAGTGCGTCTTCCTACGAAACTATCGCTTATAGTTAGCGGAAGTAAGTAAAGTATAAAATTAAGTAAAGTATAAAAGTAAGTAAAGTATAAAAGTAAGTAAAGTATTGTCGGTATATAATTCTGGTGAATAGCACCTTGTACGAGAGCCTGGTAGACCTGTATACTTTAGGTCATGTGAGTGGCTTGCTACTCACATACTTAAGTCTGTAGAGTACCACCTCTCTTTACCTTTATGTAACGAATACTCAAACTGGCTAACTAAACTTGGCTGGGTGTTCGCTGGTTGGTATGCTATGATAAGAAGAAGACTATCGGGTTGTTCACTTGGAAGTGAACTCGTTACTTGTATCAAAGATGTCAAACTAATATGATAAGATTGATAACTAAGTTGAGCACGAAGCTCCTATCTAATGGCAGACGTGCCAGTCTTATATAGAACCTTCGTGTTCCTGAAGTCGACAATGTCGACTGTCGACATAGTCGATAATCGACTTCTCGACCAGGCGAGAAGTCGACCTGCATATATCACGTGACTTGTATACAAAGAAATTCCTGGATCGCTTAACTAACCTAAGCGATCCCTTTTTGCTATAAGAGCCATGATGTGTTTGTCCTGTCAGAACCCCGTCTGGACTAACTCCTCACGTGCTAGCACGTGATTTGTGACACTATCCCCTTTTTAGCCTAGCGTGTCCCTACGCTTAAGTACGACCTAAGAAATATCGTCAGAAGGCCAGCGACCTTCTCCTCCCTTCAACATGCCACCCGATCGTCACAACGACCGAAACAGTAGACTCCTTGGTGACGCTATTGAAAAGACTGGAAGAAGAAATATGGCGCCTTGTTCCCGTTGTGAGAAGAATGACCGTCCTTGTGTTGCACCTCGCGACAAAAACATTCCCGATGTGCTGAATGTACTCGTCAAGGCAAGACTTGCGATGTTCGACAAGTTAATCGAATGCCTTCAGTTTCGGAGTGGGAGTCGCTTGAGAGTAAGCGGCGAAAGTTACGGGCCGCTCGCGACGAGGCCCTCCGAGCCCAACAAGATGCGATTGCGAAAGTCCTGCGAATCAGCAGAGAGGAAGAATCTCTCGATGCTAAGGAGCAAAGGATGATAGCAGCTGGTCTCAACTCTCTTGACGAGTTAGATGCTGCGGAAGAGTTGGAAAAGAAAGAAAAGGAGGAAAAGGAGAAAGAGGAGGAGGGGGAGAGAGAGACGGCCAGGCTGGCCGCACTCACTACCCCTACCGACTCTGACCCGGTCCTCGAACTGGGTCTCGACCCGGCCTTCTTCGAGGCTTTTCCTTCTGACCACGAGATGTGGGTAAACCTGGGTTTCGGCGGTGGAACTCCTGAAGTTCCTCCGAGTACTGGGTAATATTCCTTCTGGGTTCCCAAGTATTCTCCGAGTGTGGGTAATCCAACCATTTGATCAAGTACCTGATCTTGCCTCTAATAACCCTACAGTCGAGAATCCTCTCAACCTCATATTCGGCATTTGGGTTGACTGGTTGAATTTCTGTGTGTGGGGCTGGTGGTGCTCCCGGTGGTGCTGGTTCGAGTAAGGATATATGAAATACTGGATGGATGTTCATTGTCTGTGGTAGTGCCAATTCATAATTCAAAGGTCCTTTTACTCTCTTGATTTTGAATGGTCCGAGTTTCTTATGGTCCAGTTTGTTGCTTGGTCTCTTTGTGTCGATGTTTTTTCGTACAAGGTAGACTTTATCCCCCTCTTTTAACGTTGGCTCCTGACTACGTCGCTTGTTGTAG